CACACACACACACACACACACACACACACACACACACACACACACACACACACACACACTTGAAGCCCCACACACACTTCTTCACCAAAGGTTCATTTAAGTTTTCCAATTATCCCAGCATGCATGCACAATGGGTTTTAAAAGTATTCATCCCTTCAGTATTCCTTCTGTTTTGCAGCCTTAAATCCTGGATTTATTTCAGTTTTTATTTTTACAAAAATAAATACTTCTCAATTATGAAGTAAAGGGAAGCTTATTTTAAATAACTATATATAGGGGTGCCCCGATTTCCTTATTTTTGGAAGATCGGAAGATATTTTTTGCAAATTTGTGTTGTTTCAAGGGTTTTGTTCTGTGTTTTTCACTCAAATAAGATTGAAACATTGAAGGTGTGTTGTGACCGTATAACACCTGACAGTGTCAGTTATTTAAAAATGTGTAATCAAAATTAAAATCGGTAGGTCGAACTTTATAAAGATAGGTAATCAGCCAGAAAACTGCAATTGATGCAGCCCTAATTATATAGAAAGTTTAAGTGAAAAGTGGTCCATGTATTCATTCCCTTTGATTTAAAGACCGGACTACAGCCTCCAGAAGATATATACTGTAATTAAATAAGAGCTCTGTGACAGCAAAAAGAAAGGGGAAACAGGAAGACCTAGCTTGTCGATGCTTAGTAATTTGTTCAAAGAAATGTCAAGCAGTAAATCCCAGGGGAGACGGCTGCTGCACAATCTGTCTAACCTAAGATTGTCAGAGTTAAACAAAGCTCATCAGTAAGACAAAGAAAAGGCCATCAGTACCATAACTGGAAGGGCGTTCCATTTAAAAGGCATCATGATTTAACATTAAACTGGAAACAGACATGTTAGACCCTCCTAATGAGGACACCTCAGAAGACCAGTACAACTTATTTTCCACTATATCACCTGTGAGCAACTCAACTGTCAAATGATCTACATCTGTTCTGACAGCCTCCAGAATCAACAGGACATCTCTATGTAGTAATGTTTGTTACCACCGAGCAAAAACCATCATGAAGACCAAGGAAATGTAAAGACTCTGCCACAGAAAACCAGCCGAGAGAGGGTTGTCCACTAAAACTCATTAGGATGGTAATCAGAGGAACATCCAGGAGGCCAAAGGAAACCCTGATGCAGGGGTGCCAGCAGAGGGGGGGCATGCCCCACCACCCCCACCCCCGAGAATAAGCTGGCCACCCCAGTTTTATCCTCTTAAGTACCCAGGTTTTTCCTTTTTCAACTCCCCTACCTATTTAGGAATAGAACCTCATAAATATAAAAACAAACACTGCTTTTTTAAATTAAAAGTTAAAAACATTAATTTATATTTTATTTAAAATAAAAACATTAAATTAAAATTAAAACGTAGCACCTCTGAAC